TATGACATTGGAACAAATCTTTTTTTTTTCCATACTAAACCTTTTAGTATCATATCATTATAACTACCTTAGGAGACTCCTCACATTCCAAGTGATCTATCCCTATAAATCTATACTCATAGACTATAGGTTACTCTCCCATAACGTTCTTGAGAAATTTCTTCTAGATTTCTTAATCTTTTGTAGTTTACAACATGATAATATTATAGTCGAGGTGTAATCCTATGTCGAATAACCATGACTAGTAGATTCCCACTAACTTCTTATATACATAAGGTTCTTCTTTGTTTTTTATGAATAATCAAACTCTTTGATCGTTTCATAAAAACATCAACTTTAATTCCTAGAGGCATGCTTAAATCTATTAATAGACCTTATCGTTTTGTAAATCTTATTTACATGTTTTTCAAAAATCATCGGGGTGTGTTATCTACACATCTTTTTCATTTGCCTTTTCTAGGAATCAATGTCTAACCTTTTCATTTTAAAAGTATTAGCTTCGTCATCTATTTTAGGGCTCACATCACCATGTGTTAAGACGACAAGATCATATCCTTTTGTCTTTTTGATAATTTTTTTAAACGTATGAAGTTCTTGTGTTTTTGTTTGTGTTAGGTTATAACATTTTGTAATCATTCTACTTTAGGATTCCTTTATTAAAGTGTCAATTTGTGAGTCTACTCAAATCTTATTGAGTTTAAATTTCCTCTCACTATTTCTAGCATCCATAAATTCCTTCATATTGTGGTAAGATATTGACATTATTGTGTTACTTTGAATATCTCTTAATTTAACACTTTATTGATTTTAGGTTTCAGTTTATCTTTGTCAAACTTTTTGATATACATTTTATAGCCTCAAATCTTAAGAAAAGATGAATTCATTTTCTTTTCTTTTTCATATCTCATATGTGATCTATTTAAATAGATTTAATTAGAATCTTATTCAATTTAAAGGTTGCAGTAAGGAGTATTTATTCAAAAATAGGGATATTAATTTGACTTATTATGGACTGATCATGTCTAACATGTGATGTCCATAGAGAATCTCATCCTCTTTTAGGTGATCTAAAATTTTAGCATTCAAGTATTCATTTCCTCGATCTAATCGAGATGCCTTAATACTCTTGCTAGTTCGTCATATGACTTTTTAAGTCTAAACTTTCAACATTTCAAATGCTTTGGACTTATATTTTATAACCAAAATATGATCCACTATCATTAAAGGTTATGTGACAAACATGTTCTCCTCTTGCTTGGGTGAAAATAGGCCCATATACATCTCTATGTATAAGTTCTTTATTAATTAGTAACTTTTTCTTCTTTTCAACTAAAAGGGATCCCTATCTCTTTGCCAAGTAAATAAGATTCCTTAAACATCATCAAATGATTCTAAATATCCTTTGTATAGGTAGGTTAGATATGAGATTTTGCTTATATGACCAGGTTTGACATTCGTTGCTAATTAATATTATTTAGATCATTTGAGTCTTTTAGTATTTATGTTATACACTTGAGAGTTATGTTCAAACTATATAATTATTATCGGGATATTTTCATAAAAACTCATATTTAAAAATAACTATTATTCTTGAAAATGAAATACTTATTCAAAATAAAAAATGAAAATAAGATCTTTAGTTTCTACTAAAACAATAATGATCGAGTCTTAGGACATTTCTATATGGTAGTGCTAGCTTATAAATACCTACATCTAATGGTCCAACTCTTGATCCATTGTAGTCATGTAGATATTTTCCCTTGAGGCTATCTTTCTTCCTTTTTTTAAGCTCTTGTACATTTTAAAAATGTTCATCTAGTATCATATACTAATGAGGTGGAATTTAGAAATAATAGGATTAACATTAATAACATAAATACCGAGGTGGTGGTAGAGCTCTTCTTTTTCACCCCTTCCAAGTACTCCTTACGATTACGTTTCTAACGCCCTTTCTTGTTACATTGAAAGCAAACCGCATCCTTTGGGCTATTCCGAGCCTTGGCCTTTTTCACTCCTCTAGTTGGCGTAGTTGAAGATTTATTCTTCTTGGGCTCCTTCTCGTCCTTTATCGCATCCTTTTCCTCATTAACTAGACGTATAAAACTTTTGTTCTTCTTGTTAATTTCGATCGAGCTTCCCTTAGTATGGATAATAACTCTCCAAGAGTCTTTTGCATATGCATCATGTTGAAGTTCATGATGAATTGTCCAAAGCTATTGGGCAATAATTACAACACTAGGTCAATAGATAATTCAGCATCCATTCCAACTTCAAGTTCGGCCGGTTTGTCGATATAGCATATCACTTCGGTGATATATTTTTCGACGTTAGATCCCTCATTCATTCGGCTCTAAAGAGCTTCCTTGCTATCTCATAGCGCTCATACTTAGTATTTTCCTCAAATAAGGTTTTAAGCTTTGTTATGATGTCAAATGTTTATGAGTTTCGTGTTCGGTGCCTATGCTCCAACGTCATAGCACCAAGCATGATGCTCGAGTAGTGATCGCATCATCTTTTATGTTTGATTCATACTAAATGAGCTTTGGCTTGAACCAAATGAGGCTTAGTTGGGAGAGCTTTCTCTATCGTATAGAGAATTTTCTCATGTTAGAGGACTATCATCAAATTCATTTTCCAATCAAGGAAGTTTGTGCCATTAAAGAAGCACCATACGAAAAAAAGCCTTCTACACTACTTAAGCAAGAAATTTAACATGCTCATGCATGTGTTAAGTCGAAAACACATTCCAAAAGAAAAGAAACAACATAGGGATATAAGACTTTTATATAAAATGCAATAAAAAAGAGACACCCCGTGTGCATTATACCAAGAAGAATGAAGAAACAAAGGCACACAAGCAGAAGGCATTCCACATGGAATGCATTGAAGAGAGACATGCCCGTGCCTCACAAAGCGGGAAGAAGTCCACACAACGGAGGGAAGTTACACGGAATAAAGAACAAACCTATATGACCGTGTGCCTCTCGCCCATCAAACCGTGTAACACATTCTATTCAAGGCTTTAAATCATGTGAAGTTAAACGAGTAAACCATGTGACTATATTCAATAACTCGTGTGGTTATGTGAAGTCGACACATATGTGATGTAACACTATTTTTAACCCTACTCTAACTATAAATAGTGACGTTAGGGTTTGATTTCTAGATTTCAACTTCTAGTAGCCATTATAGATAGAAAACTCTCCTTTGTAATCCATTATGAATAACTAAACATCTATCTTGCTTAAATTAAGTTGAAGATTTTGATTAAATTGCTATGAGATTACGGGTTTTAGATCTAAACTTATCTTATTTGAGCATTTTATGTTTTTCTCGCATGATTGGTTTATGATTATGCGATTAAATTGATTAGAGTGCATGTTAGTTATTTGATCATCTTAACTTATTGCTAGCTAAGTATTTAAGTCTATGTAATTGCTTGTTTAAACTTGCACGTGGTAGTAACTAGGAGTTGATGATTATTTTTCACGTTTTCATTCAATCCCTTGAAAAACATAGAACTAGATGTAATCTTTCTAAGCATCCGGGAGGGTGGTTTAACTTCACTTGTGTTTTTCCAATTAATGTTGTTATTGGATTAAATTTAGTAGGTTGTTAATCGTGTATCATATATTTGATTAATGAATTAGTAAGAAAAGACCGAGGACAATATAAATATTGTCTTACGGTGAATTTTCATGTTTAGGATAAGTTAATAATTGAATTGATAATCGGCTACCAAACCAAAAGTGAATGTTGAAATTTAACCAAGGTTCCCCTAACATTGTTGTTTCGATTTATTTTGATTGCTTATTCACAAACACCTCAAGCACAAAACCTCATTTTATCGCTTTTGCACTATAGAACAATCAACCAAGGAAAACTCGTTAATTAAGCCTCCTTTTTATGAGTTTGACCTTTACTTTCCTTAATTACACCATTGTAATTAGGTTTTATGAGGAAATATAAAAATAAACTAATTTATTAACATTACGATACACTATCAATAATCATAAATTAGAAGACACAAAAGATGTTTTTATTCTTATTCAATTGCAAAAACTCATTGAAACTTCCTCAAATTTTTTTTTTTTTTTAACACATTGAGCATGAGATTTTCACCATTATCAATCAACCAGGAAACATCCTACACTACTTGACAATCTAAAATTGTCATACAATGTCAATTAATATCTTTCAACCAATAAGAAGACAAGTAAAGCCTTAGTTTAAGGACAAAACATCCTAACAAAATCTAAACTCTACACACAAATCAAATGTAGAGTTAAATTTAGATGTAAATTGTTAACACAAATCCAATGTAGATTTAAAATTTTGTATCTAAATTGTCAACACATGAAAAAAAAAAAAAAACAAAGGAGAACTAGGTAGATCAAGGCCCCGTGAAAAGAGATAAGAAGGCTAGTGTTTAAAAGGGGACTTTTTGTCGTGGGATTGAGGTTAGGCACTCCAAAATGGATAACTTGTTTTCATGTAACACTATGCAAGTCATTCGTTCTCTTAGGCCGTTTGTTTGTTTTTTTTTTTTTTTTTTTGCCAGGTATCTTTGGAGGTAAGACTAATCCTATTCATAGTAGAAGATAAAGTTTATCGTTTGGTGAACTAATTGTTGGTGGCCAGTTTCTTTTTGATCAACAGTTGGCATAACCATCAAAATTCCACAACACAAGTTGGATTGGACCACAGAATGCAAGTAAAAGAAAGAAAAATGCTAATACAGTTACGTCATTGGATCACTACAATTACTTCACTGGTACTCGCATTATTTTGTATATGCATTGGCTGTTGTTGCTTCGAAGAAAGAAACGGCATAGTGAGAACAAAATATATATGTATCATAGGCTGTTTAAAACTATTTCGTTTCACCTCTTTGCTCCCCAGAAAACATTAAATTAAGTACACACAGGAAGAGTGATTATTTCGAAACAGATTGTTCCTTATGTTGCGAAGTATTTTACAAGAGGGAATATAAAGGAGATTCAGCTGGATCTGACATTCTCAATGGCAAGAACTAAACCATCGAATTTGGCATCAGTGGCCCCAGTGACTTCTTTAACGATCTTGCCGTTTTTGAGAATCTTGAAAGTCGGTACCACCTTTAAGCCAAGCTCTTTTGCCAGTGGCTGCGAACAATGATCAAAATTTAGAATGCAGTTTCTTTCTCAGTATTGATTATGTTTTAAAAATAAGCTTCAATCGAGAAGGTATGGCAACTACTTACTTTGTTGTCTTGGTTGCAATCAAGTTTTAAAAATACAACATCATCGTATTTCTGGGATAAGTTTTGGAACTTTGGAGCTATTAGCTTACAAGGGCCACACCTGAAGAATAGAAGAGCCAGTAGAAAAAAAGAAAAAGTAGCCAAACAAAATCAATACTAGTAATGGGAATAGAAAATTCAGCGTTAAAATGGAAGGTTTAAAGCATCTATCCAATGATCAGACCGGATATATATATATGTGTGTGCGCGCGCGCTTGCTTAACGGAACATTTCATTGTATAACAGATTATACCACGTTTCACTTGAATGATTGAATTAGAGACACTTCATCAAGCTGTTTGTACACCGTCATCATCATCATTGTCATTGTCATCAATGTCTAAACATGGTATGAAATACACTCTATAAACTTTCTAATGCCTAGTTGAATGGTTTGACAGTACTACTTTGATATGTAGTTCAATGGTTGGAGTGCCACTTCATCCATTTGCGTGGTTATTTAAGTATGCTTGTCTGGATAGAACACAAACTACTTCCAATTCAAACTGGGTTCAAGTTTGTGAAAGCTCTATTCATCCTGGATTTCATTTGGCTACGAGTTAAAAGAAGATCAGAATCAAGCTCAATCTTAAAGCCAAAAAGTTGAATTCTTGATAAGAAGTACATATATTTACCTAGTATGTATGTCCTTTCTCGGAGTTCAGACAGGAGTAACAAGCTTGATTTTTTAATCACCATCCTACTAAAAACTAACAAACCGATTGAGTATGTAGATACTATTATTGTTATTATTATTATTACAATTTACATGCAATGCAATCAAATGAAAAATCGTTTCTAAATAGCAAATAAATTAAGAAAGCACAATATATTTACCATTGGGTGTACATGTCGAGGACGACAGTCTTATCGCCGGCTGAGTTAACGATGGGCCAGAAAGTGTCCTTGCTGACCTCCGTAACCTGTCCAACAGTGGCAGTGGGACCCGATGTGTCCAAGCTCGACCTCACAGTAAAAACCATATTGTTTCTGCTGTCATTCCTCTTCATCACATTCTTTGGTCTTGATGATAACTTACGTAAAGTAGAGACATCCTTTGTGGTGGTAAAGGACTGCGGTGTGATGGGGTTTGAAGGGGAAGATGCGAAAGATGGTGAGGAGCGGACGGAAGAAGTAGGAGACAGTGTGAACTGGATCGAAGCCATTAATCACTAATCAGCAAATGACTATGTCTATGTGACGCTACCGCGAGACAAAACTAGTAGTATAATAATAGTTTGTGGACTGCTGCTGCTTGTGGTGGAGGTGGAGAGTTCTATGGGTTGCAGAAGAAAGATGAGAGGTAGATTGACGGAATTGGCCTTGAGATTTGGGGATTAGTTTACACAATATCTTGGGGTGTTTATGTCTGTTTCCCCAATAAATGAGAGGCTGAAGACATTCTTGAGAAAATAGACAGAGAGATCAGAAATACCACGAAGGAAAACAAATAGGGCAAAAAAAAAAAAAAAGCAGAAGAGAAAAAAAAAGGTTTATTTTGAACTTGAATGACAGAATTAACCTCCCAATTTCCAAGTGATGTCATGGAGAGCGGGGGAGTGAGTGAGCGAGAGAACTAGTAGATAATTTGTCTTATAGACGAGGGTAAGTTGGTCAATTTATGAGTAATTGCAAGAGACTAGTGGCTATTAATTGAATTCGGGAAAAGACAGAAAATTGGGGATATTTTGCTTTGATTAGAATCTTGGATGCTGTAATCATTTCCCTCGAGATAGTTGCTTGGTTAGAGGCCCGAGATTATATGGGCAAAAGCAACGTCTGGATGAAAGAGAATGATAATAAGAGGATAGTTTGATTTTGGGAAAACTTGTGTTTCTCAAAAATTGGTGAGTTAAAAATTTACATTTTCTTTAACTCTTTCTAATCAATAAAAAATTAGTTTTATCTTAATACTATACCCAATTACCAAATCGGACCATTCATTTTTTTTTTCAATCAATGTTTAAGAGATTTTAAAATAAAAATATACGTCAATTTAAATTAATTTTTTTTCGAGAGTTTTTAAAAAAGTATGTTTTACATTGGCATGACGAATTAATAGAAATTTAATAAAATTTTTAAAATAGTTACTTTAAAGTTTGAATAAAAAAAAAGGACGTTTTTAAAAGTGTTTTTTTTTTAGTCAAGAACTTTTTTTTAAAAAAAATTGCTCATAGTTAGAAAAATTGTTAAAAAAAATATATATTAGAAACTTGTATATTATTTTTAGTTTTGTGTATTATTTTTAGACATTATAGATGTAATAAAAAATATAAAAATAGATTAGACATTCATAATATTATGTAAGAACAAATTAAACTATTTATCTTTTATTCTATTTTCTCTACTCTTGTACTTGTTTTTTTTTAATAACAAAAAAAAAAAACTTTTTTGTTATGCTAATCACCCTCTTTTCTTAAAACTACAAAAATATATACAATGTCTTAAAATATAAATAAAAATCATGAAATGAAATAAAACTCCAAAAACATGTTTTTCTTGTTTGATATTTTTGGATTTTTGATAAAAATAAGAGTCCAAAATGAGCCATGACACATCCCATGTGCCGGTTTTTTTTTTAAAAAAAATTATCTATTATGCTTAATTTTTTTAGAATCTTTTAAGAAGTTAGTTTTTACTTTCAATGTAGAAAGGCCATTTTGAATTGTTCACACCTTTGATTGGAAGACCTTAATTAAATCGTATTGCCTTAAGAGAAATTTAGAAATTTTATAAAGGCTTATTTAAGCTTGTTAGTTTAGTTAATTTAGCTTTAGTTAATTTAGTCAATATAATAAAAAATAAAACCGAATCAAATTAAACCAAACCAAACTAAAAACAAATGGTTTTTTATGTTTGGTTTATTCGATTTGGTTTGAAATATCATTATTATTATTATTATTATTATTTACTTTCAATTATATTGTTTATTTTGAGCAAACATGAACTAAAATGATTGATGCTCAATCCTCGTCTTAAGAAGAGTATTTGAAGATTTTACCAATTTTGGTTTTCTCACGGTGAGTGTTTCTGCTTTCACTTTTCTCTAAAAAACCATTGATTCTCCTTACCTTTCAAGAACAAAGAGTGGAGGGAGAGTTCTATTGAAAATTCACCTTAGATTCATCACTTTTAAACAAGATATTTATCAAGCAGTACAAATCTCAAAATAATTTAATGTATGTTACATGAATCTATTTTTGGATAAAATGTGACCGTGATCTTATAGGGCACGTTGCATTTTGGATTAGAAAAGGCTTTAGGAATATATCACTAATTAGGTTCTGAGCTAAACTGTTTTTGCCATCAGTCTAACCTTATGAAAACCGGACAGCCACATTTGTAAGCCCATGCATTACATGTGTCCTCTTCTAAACGTGACATGTTTTTATGGGACAAGGGCACACTATTCAGATATATCACTAGTTGTTTGTCCACGTTATGTTTCAGGTCGGATATAATAAAATCCTTTCCAAATTTTATAATTTTTTTAATAAAATTGTGAATGTAATTATATTTATTTATTTTTAATAAATTTTCTACTAAAAAAAAAGCATGATTCATTCTTCTTTATACATTGATTATAAATACAAAACTTGTAATAATTTAAACTGAAATATTAAGAAAGAATTAAAAAATGTTTTCGTAAGATTATATCCAAAAAATAAAACTACAATTAATGGATGATTTTTATAAAAATTAACCAATAAAAATATTTATTTTATTTTATTTAATGCTAATGAGAATATTATTTTTTAAAAAATATATGCATTTGATTTATATATATTCATTTACAAATAATCAATAATGTTACAAAATTAATTTAATTATTTTATTTCAAATAAATTAGTTGTATAATATAAAAAAAATATTCATAGTAAAAAGCTAATGTTATGTGTGAAATGTATGGTTAATTTTTAATAAAATAGATGATTCAATAGTTTTTTTATATGTCATTGCCATATATAATGGATCGAGACAAATTATCTTAAATAAATTTTTATTTTTTTTAGATTAAAATAATTATATATTTATACATATGCCACAATCATTTAAAAATTCTAAAAATTCATGATGTATATTATATCAATTTTTTTAAAAAAAAAAAGAGAAAAAATTCATGTTTTAAAATTTTATTCTAAAATCTAAATATAGAGAAAAATAAATTATATTTATTAGTAAATAAAATTTTATAGAAAATAAAAAAATAATGGGATGAGAATTTTCATAAGAAATGATAAATTGAAAGAATAAATTTTAAATACTAAGAGTGATATAATGCGAAATACATGTTAATTTTAAAAAATAAAAAGATAGTACATATACTCTATCCTTGCCAAGCTATATTAAAACTCAAAAAATAAACCTCGATGTTCCATAATTTTTGTTTAAAAATTCTTAATTAAAAAATTAAAGAAAAAAAACGAAGGTACAATCCTCTACGTTTAAGTCTAGAGGACCAAGCTCGCACGCTTTGAGACATGACACTGCATCGGCTAGGATACAAGTAAATAAATAAATAATTCCAGTGACTCTGTAGAATTTCTAGTGAACTCGATTTTTTAAAAAAGTTAAGTTTCTTAATTTTCGACCTCCCAAAACCAAATTTAACTCTATTTTTGTTTGAAAACATCTTAAAATCATAGAAATAATATATATATTTTTTTAAAAAAACTCATTTTAATGCACACAAAATACACAAAAATTCAAATCAAAATAAAAAAAGGTGAAACTTTTTCAAATCTCAAATCTACATTCTCCAATAATTTCATCGCTTGTGACCATTAGAAACAAATTCTACTCTTCGAGATGAACAAATTAGTGGTAAACTCAACCATCAAGGTGGCTAGAATGGATTTCGGCATCCCTTTCTCTCTCCTCCTTTATCTCACTCTCATCTCTCTCTCCCCCTCGGTTCTCTCTCCTCTTAGAGTGCATGGACCAAAAAAAAAAAAAAGTTTCGGATAAAAAAAGTTGTTTTAAAAATGAGGGACCAAAAATAAGGGATCAAATTGCAAATTTTCTTGCAAACATTGGAAAAGCATAGTGCTTTTGGGTACATGTATAGTGTTTGAATATTTTGTTTTGGTATTTTTTATAATGATCATCAAGGAATACATTCTATTATATAAGTGGAGATTACTATGTTTGATTCTTTTATATGTTAGTATTCCTTTTTTTTTTTTTTTTTTTTGCTTTATCTATTTTTATTTTATTTTATGGGTTGATGGCCAAGTAACTTTGGAAGTTTTATGTATTGTAAAAAGATAAGATTAAAAGGAATTTGCTCATCAAACTTGAATAATTATATTTTAAATTATATTTAATCTTTTCATAATCAAACAAGAAATAAATAGTGTATTAGATAATAAATATTTTAAACTCTTTGTGCTAGCATAACCAAATTATGTCATGTTTTAGTGTAAAAAATCGTTGAAACGAAGCATTACGAGCAACAAAAAAAAAAGTAAAAGAAATCATGGCACATGCTATAGGAGCATTAAACGCTCTTCCACAATCATGAGCAAAAGACGAAAAGGGGTATTGAATGAGGGAAAGGAAACTAAGAAATGGGGGCATGAACATAATCTAATTGCACACTAAATGGCAAGGAAGTAATTAAGCAAAGAATTAAAGGGTGTTAATAAAAAAAAACGTAGAAATGAAGATAAACAAAGAAAAAATACTATAAGAAAAGGTGCAAATTAAAGGTGTACGGAGGGGCGTACAAAGAGAACATAGAAGGGATGGATAAGATGGAATAAGAATGGAAGCACAATGAAAGAGAGTCACGCATCGCAGAGAAGGGACAAAAAGAGGCATTTTAGAACCATCACGGTGAGTCATCTACACAACCTTTTCATTTGTCATTTCTAGAAGTCAATGTCTAACATTTTCATTTCATAAGTGTTAGCTTCGTCATCCTTTTTAGGATTCACATCACCATGTGTTGAGATAAGAAGATCATATCTTTTTATCTTTTGACTAACTCTTTTTAGACTTATGAAATTCTTGTGTATATGTTTATGGAGTAGTTACAACACTTTGTAACCCATGTTTCATTAGTGGAGTGTGAATTTATGAGTTTACTATAATCTCATTGAGTTCTAATTTCCTCTCATGATTTCTAGCATCCATAAATTCCTTTCCAAGGAATAGCTCATGT